ATCTACACAGGGATCCAAGGCAGAGGTGAGGAACCTCTGGCTGTCTAACCTCAATGTGGCTAACCATGCTGACTGGAACTACTGGAAGTTGCAATTTGATAATATTTGGGCTGCAAATATTGAAGAGCAATCTGTTCTTAGAGTGCTGATCTAAAAAGTTGTTTTTCTTTTGCAGTTGGACCCTTGAACTTGTTAAAGTTGTGGCTCAGCAGACAATCCAGCAGATTGTCTGCTAAATAGTTTAAAAATAATGTCCAATGTTATTATTATTGTTATTAAAATATTTTAAATTTATTGGTGGCCCAATTCCAATGGACTCTGAAAAAGATGTGATGAGACACAATTGTTGAAGTGAGCCCCATATGGAAGGGCACAGATGTATTCTTCTTGTGTCCTCCTACAAAGCCATATAATTTAGATTTGACATTATTTCTCAGAAGCATTAGCTGTTTCATTTTCAAAGTGACCCGCAATTGTTCTCCCATATACTTCTCCAAGATGCATTACTTCGTTCCCTACTTCAATAAAACATGTAAGAACCATTGACAGCCAATCTCAACCTTTGTTCCCACTTGCAGGGCTAACCTATCCTAATTTTCTAATGCACTTGGTAAGGGAAAAATAAACAAGATAAACTTGAAGTTCTAGTATAAGAAACGAAACACAATTTGATCAGTACAGCAGAGACTTGAGACAGCTCCTATGCCTGGAATGCAGCAACTGAAAGATATAACTGCTTCCAAAATAATATATTTCACAGAAAAAGGAGTAGGCTTAAATGTCAAAAATCTGAACACCTGCACAAAATTAACTAGATGACTTAGTGTAGAATATTTTGGTAAAAATAAATCAACAAAGAAATAACTCAAAAAAGAGTGCTGTCTACTCCCATTGGGGAGTCTGGGGATTAGAGTGCAGTATCTATTGAGTCATCTCTTCCCATCTTGAAGAGTCCTTGCCCTATGACTTGCAGCTATATTATGGGCTAGGACAACAGAAAGAGGGACCAAGAAACAGATAAGATCATGAGGAACAGCAGAATTAGGAAACTGTTTGTAAATAATTAAAGGCTATGAGGAAGAGCACTAGGGGTACTTGTCCAAGAAAGCAGCTTTGGAAGACCTTGAACATGCTTCCATTCTTTCAGAAATTGAACTGTTTCTGAATACTATCCACTGTTGGATTGCAACCAGAGTGGCAAGTCAATATGAGGTTCCTTTTTGGGGTGGCTTGTTTGGGGAATAATAACCCCCAAACCCTCTCAATTTGGGAGGCATGATATCAGTTTCCATTCTTAAATTACAAATCAGGTCTTGTTCCTTAATTGGTGGCTACCAATTAAGCAGAAAAATTAAGACCCACTGTCTAATGTATCTCATACTTTACAATTTCTTTTGTATAAATATGTCTGTGTGCATCTGAAACCCCCTGCCCTGCAATATATCATCCTATTAACCACCTGCAAACATTTCTGTGATGTAGTCGCCATGTTATACTATGTATTTGTTTTCATATTATGTATAATATTTGCAATATATTTTTAATCGTAGCAAAGTTTGCTTTCATCCATCAAAGCCAAGTGTCTCCTTTCAGACCTTTTGTTTGCTCTTTTCAATATCCATCGTTCATTCCAGTTCTTCTCCCAAGGCACACACAGTACATCTGTTGAATGTTCTCCAAGCCAGAGGAAATATATTATTTTAACAAATGGAACTAGGTTCAGTAAAGGCTACCTCTGAATTTACAGGCGGTCTAAAAAGAAAAGAAAATATTCTGTTTCATAGCCATTTCTGGCCCAAGGGAGAAGAAGAAACTCATAATTTATCACATCCTCTCCCATCATATGCAACAGTAGCCTTTTCCCATCTTAAAAATATAAGAGGAACTCTATCAGATGGGAGGCAGTTTGGGCAAAACCACACTAAGCATTATAGAAGTTCAAATTCAGAAAATCTGGATTTATTGTATATTGCATTGGATCTACTGTATATTGGTGGGTTGGACTAAGTTATGATCCTATTGAATCCTATATCAGCAAGGACCTCTTTGGGACCATCGTTCCATCATGTCCTAAACTGCCTCACAATATCTTGTTATAATTGATAACATATAGGAACTTCTAAATATTTAAACAAAAGTGTGCAATATAAATCTAGAAGTAAATTCAGATCATAATCCTAGATCGGAAGAATCATGATAAGCAGAAATCCAAAAGATAAAAATGGATAGAAGATAATATAAGCTCTTGGACTTAGATGTAAAGTAACATTAAATAAAATAAAGAACACTCTCTTTAAGATAAGAAAAGTCTATAAGGTAATAGTTGACTTATGACTGGTTGCCTAACAACCACTTGAAGTTGTGACTTATCTAAAGAATGGTACTCACAACCTGAATTCAAAGTTCGAAGGATCCAATGGTCAGGCACCCTCCATGGTCATGTGACTGAACTTTGAAAGCTTGGCAACATAGTCGCATTTATGTCTGTTTGGCAAAATTGCATTCATAGCGAACCATTGGTTCCCTTAACAACCACTGCAATCAGTGAATGATTGTCACAAAAATTGTAAAATTTTACAATCATCGTTATATATGACTGTAATGAGCAAGCTTATAATTACGGTCGTATGTCAAGGACTACCTGTATTTTTGCTCTTATATAGTTGAAAATAATTTGGATCACAATCTGAATCTAAATCAGCAATATGATACAGTTTCCAAAAAAAACCAAACAATTTTGGATGCATTAAGAGAAATTATGTTGGGATCACCCACATGAATGTCAAGCACATTAAAGCTGTTATTCCATCTTCCTCTGCACATCATGCATTGAGCTTGGTTGTGGGCTAAACAATCTCCAAATTCATTTCAGCCCCTGGTCCTAATTCCAAAGATGCCCATCCATAAGCTGCTTGAGTGCCCAAAAACAAAATATAGATGGAAACAGTCCTTTGGGAAACTATTCAGATGCCCCTCAACATAAAGATTTTCCTTAGCCATTATTGCTGATATCTCTTGAAGATATGCACTTTATTTTTATCCTTGTGTTAGAAGGAGAAGCAATGTTTTTTAATGATTGAACCTGGATTCAATAAAGATTATTGCTGCTGATTGTTTAAGAGGAAAATAAAAGCAATATGTAACTGATTTCCACTGCACCAAAGATAAAACACAATAGCAACACAGTATTGTTATGACTACAACTGGATGGTGATATGTTTCAATCTGCCTTGAGGAGTAAATTAACATTTCTGAAAAAAAATTGTTTCCGGGCATAATGTTTTAAATTTCTTTAATGCTTCATTACCAAAATCAATGTAGCGTGTACAAATAGGTTTTGTTAAACAGGTAATAACTGTACTTTCTTTCATTAGTTGATGATTTGTATCTACAGAGAACTTGAATTTAGATGAGAATTAGTAGAATCTTATGCTATTGCATTGGATTAGCTTTTTATATATATAGTATTGACAATTGCCTCCATCTACAATTATATTGTCTATTGAAGTGAAGGCCCACTTGGAATTGAGTGATAAAATTAAAACTATGCCCAAAAGTTGCTACATACTGCTTTTAAAAGAAGCAGCAGATGGCAGACTTTGGCTGATAAGAAAAATCTCTAGAGTTGGATGGCTAAAGGGCTATAATGGATGTTGAACCATCAAAATATTCTAGTTGAAAAAATATTCTGGAAAATAAACAAGAGCAAAGCACTTGTAGATTGTCTCAGAATTCACCATGAAGTCAACAGAGTCAAACTCGATTAGGCAATGGTTTAATATTCCATATTGGAAATGAAAGATGAAACATTTTTAAGGGTAATTCATCAGTTTGTGCAATATTTTTTAGGTGCTTGGAAATAGAATGGGTGAGAGTATAACTGTTGCCACACACAAAATAACTCAATGAAACAACTCAAAGAGGAAAAACACCCCCCCCCCACACACACACACAAACACACATACCTCAGACCTATCCAGGGAGGCTGCTTCTTCTATCACCAACCTATAAATAAGGATGGTCTTATTGCAAAGCTGTCTGACATATAATACCAACTATCAGAAACCAGATCCTCCAAGGATCTAGTAACCTAATATTGTAGGTGAATAGTAAAGAATGGAAAGTGGGTTTGATCTGAGCCATCAACTCTCCTGTCCCTCTGAATATGCAACTCTCAGATTCCCATCATATCTCTCCTGACATTCACATTTTCATTTGTCTTCAAAACCCCAGCCCAGCATCCTTCTCCCATGCCCTACCTTCACCCTTCCTGGCCAAAGGACCTATCCAAACAATTTCCATATCCTTCTACCAAACCATTGTGTCCACCCCAAGTGTTCTTGCTCTTGGCATTCAACCACTGAAGAGGGCTAAGTTGAGCCACATGTATCAGTAACCATTCAATCAGGTTCCAAATAAAGTGATACATCAGCATAATAAATAGTGAGGTGATTAAAATTGTTTTTATTGCTACAGTTAGATAGCTTTAATCCTTTCACATGACTTTATTGTTGTTTTCAATGTTCTTGTGAAAGTGCTATGAGTCAAAGATTAAAAAAAAGTTTTACAAAACTATAACAACAACAACAACAACAACAATGTTGGAAGGGACCTTGGAAGTCCTGCTGAGATAGGAAACTATATACCATTTCAGACAAATGGCTGTCCAGTCTCTTCTTAAAGTTAATGCCTGAAAGATAATGTTTTCTGAAAGATTTGCCTTCATATTTTTGATGCAACTAGAAATATTTAAATGTTCAACTTCTTTCTGGTGCTTTATGACAGCAACCTAACATCTATACAAATTCTAACTTCTCTTTATACTTTAAACTTATTGCTCATTTACAAATTAAAAAGTATTGAGTATATATAATTGATATACATAAATTATTATAATAATCTCTTCTTTTCGGTTAAGCAAGATTTCAGGCATTATCTTGTATAGCGCCTTTTTTTTTAACTGAATCTTTTTATTCTAAGCCTCTAACAAGAACTCTTACCCTTAGCTGTTATAGAATAGTCCAGGACTTCAGTGATTATAATGTTTCTGGAATCCAGGCCTGGAGAAGAGGCTCTACAAGATCTATAAAGAGAAAGACCTCTGCTCTGAAGAGAAGGAAACAAGGGAGTGCAGTGATTGAAGACTCCCTACTGAGAGAGACTGAAGCAGAAATCAGTCATCCAGGCAGCCTATCAAGAGAATTATGTTCCTAGGGTATTTGGTGGGGGGGGGGGTAACAGAAAGATTCACAAGGCTCATCAACCTGTTGACAAATATTCTGTCTTCTGGTCCATGTGGGAACAGCCACACAGAAAAGAGTAGAGATACTGGAAGGGGTGACAAACCACAGGCCAGGAGGATGAAGTTATTAGGGACACAGCTGGAGTTGACTTGAAAGAATGGGAAAAAGAGAAAAGAGAGAGAGAGAAGTATATTGGAAATGAACAATGGGATATGTGGAGGGTGCCAAATGCACAAGGAAGACAATATTTGAGAGGGGCCTGGCCAATCTGATTTATAGGACTTTAAATTGAATCCTGTGGAAAAGGTAGAAAAGATGCTATAAAATAGCCTAAATACTAGAAATCAGACAAGGATACAGGTGTAGAGATCTCGAATAAGGAACACAAGCTGAAATTTGTCCAAAAGAGAAGAACCAAAATGATAAGTGGCTTAGAAGGAATATTAGAGGACTATTAGAGGTATTGATTTATTTAGCCTAAAGAATAAACAACTATATGGAATATAATTATTATCTTCAAATGCCTGAAAGGAACAGAAGACAGGAAGACAGGAAAAGAAACAGTGGATTTAAATTATAAGGAAGTAGATTTTGGTTGTACAAAAACAAGTGTCTTAAAAGTTAGAATTGTTCAATAATGTAACATACTGCCCCAGGAAGTGGTGGACTTTCCTGGAAGTATTTAAACAAAGACTAAATGGCCATCTGTCAGGGATGCTTCAGTACCTGCACTGGAAAGGAGGTTGGACCAGATGATCTCCAGGATACCTTCAACCCTTATATTCTGAGATTCTGTCATAAATCTTCCCCCCCCCCCCATCTTTCCAGAAAATCATCCAAGATTGCTCCTGCCTTCAAGTGTATCTTTTATTGGTTTATTGGTAGTCATTCTAACTGCTTTATTGCTTTATTATTATTATTATTGTTACCAGCATTCCTAGGTGGAACAGAGAAGAAAAAAATGATCATATGAGCTAATTCTATTTTATTGTAAGGCTACATGAACACAGTCTTCCATGTCTGATAGTAAAATCTCCCACCATCTCTTTTACAGCCTGATTAGTTGGAGAAGTTTATTTCTGAGCTTCTTTCTCTCCCCATTATACATCTGCAGGCTATTCCCTCTCTTATCTGATTATTCTCTAGACAGCACCTCATTCCCCCATCTCCTGCCCAATCTCCCAAGGTCATTTGCACATACCATTATAAATGTTTTGCTTCCATTATTGTTGCGTTTTATAAAATTTTGCACCCTACATTCATAGGACCGTTTCAAACATAATATAGCTGGGTTGCAAAAACTTGGATGACCATGAGACAGCAGCCATGCCACAGAATGCTTTAAGTCTTTACTACCAGCCAATGGCTGTCCAAATTTTGCAGCCCAAATATGCTATACTCAATCATCATATCTTAAAAGGTAGTGTAAAGAAGACTCCCAGCAAGAAACTCACTCATTCATTTCTACATTTCATCATTACTTTGTTTCTGCTTCTTTACTTTTATGAATAACTGTCAAGCAGTTCATGCCCAACTGTGATTCTCACCTTTCTTCCCTGTCTTCCTCCTAATAGCCTGCCAATTTATGAAAAAATTCTGATCCCTTTTTGGTGTTTCACTTTTCAGCAGGTCCTTCAATAACTACATATCACATTTTATACAGAAGCTTAAAGTGGCATATGTAGTTGTCCCTCCTCCCATTTGCTCCAGAGGTTGGGCTGAAAGAGACCAGTTATCCCAAACTTGCCTAGTGGATTTCTATAGTGGAGAGTAGACTAGAATCTGGGTCTCCCCTAGTCCACCTTAACCTCTGACCACATTGGCTATATTAGAAGTTACTTTATTATATTTCTTTTCTATTTGTAAATCGGCTATCTTAGCTTTTGTTCTCTGAAGCTAAAGAACAGTCTGCAGCTTACATTTGCTTAACCTGAGCAATATTCCTATGTTCACATAACACACTAGTTCTAGTGCATATGTCACAATTTTATCCACTACAAACAGGCTTCATTAATCAGATTTATGGCTTACCATAGAATCCAATAAGCCTTTTGGGGCTTCCTAAGGTTTTTACCCAAAGTTTATAATAATTTACAAGTTTTGGTTTCCAAAATCCCAAAATGATGACAGTTTTAGTTTAGATGACACAAAAACTCCCAAACATGTGTAATCATTTGGATGAACTTGAAAAGAGGGAATTATAGGCTAATATGGTAAACTGAGGTGGGTTGTTTTTAGCTTCTGTGTTATGCAAACACATCTGGGTCAGTTGAATTTTTTTTAAAAAAATGCAGTAGAGCAGTGGTTCTCAACCTCTGGGTCAGGACCCCATTTAGGGTCGAACGACCATTTCACGGGGCTCGCCAAACAATGCAGTCCACCATTTTCCCCCTTTTCCTTAGCTGTGCTACTCCCTTTTATTCTATTGGCTTTTGAAAGCCAATAGAATAGACTCTCTTGAATAGAGTCTAATTCTATTGGCTTTCAAAAGCCAATAAGAATTATCCAGGCTGTCTCTACCCTGCCGAGCCCTCCAAAAGTTCCATTCTGCAAACGGTGCTGCAAGTTGTCTGCAGCGAAGGCGAGCTGTCTGGAAGTTTCCACCCCTCCCTGCTGAGCAACTACTAAAAATGTAAGTAAAAGAGGGCCAGGGGTGGGAGGTGGGAGGTGGGAGGCTGGCGGGCGCAGGGAGGGTTGCTGGTGCGCGTGGGGCCCAGCGGGTGCCTTACCTCCCTTGGGCTGGGCCAGCTGGTGGCCCAGCCTGTGGTCGGTCTGTGCCATCTCTGCCACTTGCCAGCTACGCCTCGGCTGGCGCAGCGGACGGCACCACGCATGTGCGGCGCTCCTGGGCAGGGAAAGTCCTCGACTTACAACCGGTTGGGTAGTCCTCAACTTACGACCAGTTGGGTAGTCCTCGACTTACGACCAGTTGGGGTCACAGCATTAAAAAGGTTGAGAACCACTGCAGTAGAGGGTAATTTAATTGGAAGAGTTTGGGAATTCTGTACATGATTAAAACATTTCTATTTTTCTTTTTTTTATCTTTTTGCATAACAACATAGCTCATGTATTAATCTGGTACATCAAATGCCATGTTTTTTTTCTCAAGAAAAGATTGACAGATGTGATTAAGGAGGGGAAAATCTCAGTTGCAGAAATGTTGCCAGTATTCTGTTTACATATTAACTATCAATGTGGTATGCAAGAATGTGGTTGCACATATGCATTTCAGGGTTGTTAAACAAAGGAAGCAAACAGGGATATATATGCAACTGCCTGTTAGGGTTGAGCCCTTTTAATGTTTTATCATGACATCTACCGACAAATGTTTTTAAATGGCTTAGCTATTAACCCAAGCAAAACAATAGGCATCTTATTTGGGCAGCAAATTATTCTTCTGTAAAAAAAAGAAAAAGAAAGAAAGCAGCCAATGCTAACTGGCTGGGAGACAAGAGGAGAAAGTTATTTTAGTCAAAATGCCAAAACACAGAGCCAGTGTGAAAAAGCTATTTGGTGTAATTCAAGAGACTGTAATGGTTACAGTAAATTTTTGCACAACATTCAATAATAATAGTAATAGTAATAATAAAGTTGGAAGGGACCTTGGAGGTCATCTAGTCCAACCCCCTGCTCAGGCAGGGAAACCCTATACCATTTCCGACAAATGTCTGTCCAGTCTCTTCTTAAAAACTTCCAGTGTTAGAGCATTCACCACTTCTGGAGGCAGGTTGTTCCACTGGTTAATTGTTCTAACTGTCAGGAAGTTTCTCCTTAATTCTAGGTTGCTTCTCTCCTTGATTAGTTTCCATCCATTGCTTCTTGTCCTGCCTTCAGGTGCTTTGGAGAATAGCTTGACCTGCTCTTCTTTGTTCTAGGTTGCTTCTCTTTTTATTAGTTTCCATCATTGCTTCTTGTCATGCCCTCAGGTACTTTGGAGAATAGCTTGACTCCCTCTGCTTTGTGGCAGCTCCTGAGATATTGGAACACTGCTATCATGTTCCACCTCGTCCTTCTCTTCATTAAACTAGACATACCCAATTCCAGCAACCGTTCCTTATATGTTTTAGCCTCCAGTCCCCTAATCATCTTTGTTGCTCTTCTCTGTACTTTTTCTAGAGTCTCAACATCCTTTTTACATTGTGGTGACCAAAACTGGATGCAGTATTCCAAGTGTGGCCTTACCAAGGCATTGTAAAGTGGTATTAACACTTCATGTGATCTTGATTCTATCCCTCTGTTAATGCAGCCTAGCACTGTGTTGGCTTTTTTGGCAACTGCAGCACACTGCTGGCTCATATTTAAGTGACTGTCCACTAGGACATGTTGGAGGTCATTTGGAATTGGGCCTCTATTGTACACAAGCATTATAAGTGGGGGATGAGATGAACTTGTAAGCAAAATCACATCCATGAAGTTGTAATTTGTTTAATTATTTAATTGCTATTTTATACATGCACACACTTATAGTGACTTCTATCTTTGCATTACCAGATTCAAAAGAAATGTGTGCCACAATTCCAACCCCATTTCCCTCCAGTTTGACTGATCTCAAACAGCTAAGCAAATCTGGATCCTGGAAAATGGACCACCAGGAAATCTCTGGCCATAAATTGGACCTGTGGAAGAAAAATAATTCAAGTGAGTTTTCTTCCATTCTGAACAAAAGAATAAATAATTATAAGCTTAAGAACTTAAAAAAGCTAAATAAGATTTTAATCTAAGAAAGTTATAAACAAATTAAATTTCCAGATATATTTAGAATACTGACTTTTACTATAAGATTTTGGAATTAACTATAAAAAATTAATGACTTCTCATGAGAAACAGACTTATTTTGGCTACCCTGGCCATTGTAAGTCATAAGGAAGATAAGTTAGTTTTTCGATTTCAGAAACTGGATACTATGCAGGACAAAGATTGTAAGCAGAAGAGAAAAAGTACAATCCATTCTTGTCAGTTAATACTGGAATTTACAAACTGATATAAAATGTTATAACAATGGAAACATTAAAGGAAATTGTTGAAAAATGAAGCCAGAAATTAACTGCAATATCAATACTGTCAGTAATGATGTCTTCTTCTATGGGTGGATTATGTCCAAAAAATGTTAATGAAAGAATGACAGATGTGAAACAAATTATATCTGACAAGATGGAGAAAGTACCCTAAGAGGGAGGGAGGAAGGGAGGGAGGGAGGGAGGGAGGGAGGAAGGAAGGAAGGAAGGAAGGAAGGAAGGAAGGAAGGAAGGAAGGAAGGAAGGAAGGAAGGAAGGAAGGATGGATTTCTGATGCTTCCTGCCAGCTTCAAACAAGGAAACTCAATGGGGAAGTTGGCAGGTAGTTGGAAGTCGGTTTGAGATTCTTGTTTGAATTACCTCAGAGGGCTGACAACTAGTGGACATCAAATAGAAAGGAATAACGAACCTCTGGGTCTTCAGATCTTGTAGAAGGTCCTTGAAATCAAGATATGTACTGTCCACAGCATACTCCACAGTGTATTTTCAATCTATCAGAGAAGCTTCTTGCATTTCTTGCAAGATTTATTCTTGTCAAATCCATGCTTCCGGATTTTCCCAGATATCAGTCTCAGACTGGCACTGGTTTGTCATTTTGAGTTCTTTTTCTCCGGTAATTTGAACTCATTCAAGGTCAGCAGATATTTTCTCCCATGTTTATATTAAGCTTGAACTAGAATCCCTCCATCAAGTCTTCCCAATTTCCTAGCTGCATTCAGACAACTGAATCAAAGAAAGAGTTGATTAGGTCTGCCTTTTGGGATGCGGGTAGAGCGTCATCTGCTACTCTTTTGCCTTCTTTACTGAGTATCTGGCACAATCCTTATTTTATTTTAATGATATCTCAATATTCAGTAAACAAAATCATTTTGAGCTAACATGTAATAATCACATAGGGATAATATTTTATTGCTAGGGTTGCTTTCTCTTGTGGATGCATCATGGTCCCAAAGTAGCTGGAGAAGATGTTGTATTTTAATCATGGAGCTATGTTCTGTGGAATTTTACTTAATGTGAGTCATATTTTGGAACAGTACTAGGAAACATAAAGCAAAGACATTACACCAATTGTGTCATGGAGAATTTTACCACACGTTGCTAAAATAAACATTTCTGAGTGTGATTTAAGGACTCTTTCATGCTTTTGTTTTACAGTTTTCTTTATGTTGTTTTTAAAGAGAAGCATTTTCCTGACTTGTAGCCCTTTCCTCTCCATCTGTTTGGGATAAATGCTTTGATTAATTATTGCTTTAAATGCAAGACTGATTTACAATTTGTGAATGAATCAGATTTAATTTTCCAAGGGGAAAAGCCTTTTGTTCACTGCTTCCTGCTTACTATTTATAGCTGACTCGAAACAGATTAATTTAATGTTTTGAAAATTATTTTTTATTTGTTTCTTTCCCCTCCCCTTTGTTTTCAGCAAGAACAAATCTGACTTTATTTAGCCACCAACTCTCAAAATTGCTGAGTCTATAACTTTTCTTCTATTCTTCTGATGTCATCAGGGTGGAGGTCAAAACTATACATAATCTGAAAAGTTGCAGGTGCATCCCCCAGAGCAAATTGTGTGGGCTTCAATAATCTTTTTCATTTTAATCTAACTTTTCTAAAAAGACAAAATATTTAAAATAACTATTTTAATTTTATTTAGAAACTTTTTCTTCTGACAAAAGTTTTCAACAGTATTTTTCTGGACATAAAATAATAATGACAAAGTATTACATGGCCAGTACATTTAAAACATAGCACGCAACACAGATAATAACATGACCTGGCAATGGTTAACAGCAGGAAAATTGAAGAAAGAAACAGAAGGGCTAGAGCAGAAGATCAAGCCTTAAAAACAAATGCACACTATTCTGATCTTGAGTTAAAATGCCTTATAAATCAAATCAGATAGATAACTCAATAGAAATGATTTCATAACAAAAAAAACATATTTTAATCAGAAAGATTACTTGCATTCATGCTGTGGTTGTAACTTCTGGAAAATACATCTTTTATCCATTCCTATAGGTAAAAGAATGATGCTCTCTTCCATACCATCTTTATAACGGCGCAGGCTCATTGGGTGACATCTGACGGCCCATGCTTCTTTCAGACAAAGACATTCCCAACTGGCTTGTGTCCAGGAAGTCTCCCAATGCCCTTTAGAGACTCCTCCCACTGACCCATTAACATGAAATGACTGACTAGCTAAAACTGCATTTCCCATAATCCATCTCTTAAGGAAACAACACTAAACTCAATAAATGTCAGATATTCTAACATACAGATACATGCTCTCTAGTTAGGATTACATAGAGCTATACGGTTCAGAACACATACGAAGCCAGAAGTGAAAAGACAGCAAG